CTTAACAACAAAAACAACATAGCATATCAACTACTTTGTTTTTAATTAATTAATCAATTGCAGTTTGCAAACAATATGCTCGAACTTTAATTGCCATAGCCACACCCATGACAGAAAACATATTTACAAAATAGTATCCTCCTCATCCTCCAATTCCTCGGTGTCCTCTGTTTCCAGTCTTTACTAAGAAATCCTATGAAAAATTATTTACAAAATCTTCTGCAGGACAGTTCAATTCTTTACAATAATATAATATATTATGAAAGAAAATTAAGCTGTTACACTGAGATGGTTTAGGAAAACCATAAAGTGTTTTTGTACAGTCAATTAATTGTACAGGCAGCATTAAACCATCAAAGTTAAATGATTGTTTATAGCTTCTGAATTTCCTAGCCTATATTTTCTTTAGCAGGGAGTTTCAAACTTTTTAATGGCAATGAGCCCTAAACAATACCCTTGTGAGATTCTTTATTTAGGCTTATAATATAATAAAATATAGGCCTAATATAATATAAAAAAATGAATTGAAGTATTTGAAGTGATATAATATATCAGTTTAAATGCTTCAATTTGTTTTCATATTATATTATTATAATATGAAAACAAACTGAAGCATTTACTGTAAATGGCTAGATCTAATAGCTAAATATTTTCAAGAAAAGTGAATATGTGAACTCTTTTATAGTAGCCTAATCTAACCATGCCTGAAACTATTTAAATCTATGTAAACTAATGATGTATTTTGAGTTTGCACGCGGGTGGGTGTGTAATTGTTACCGTTCTGTGTCCATCATCTGTTATTTCCACCACTTTAATTAAACCACTCTTCTTTAAAACATGATATTGTGATTTTATTTCACATGTCTTTGCGTTTCTCGTCGCCTCTCGTATTGAGATATTTGGTCCGCACACACGACTCACTGCCAATCACACGCGCTCACATCATTCTCTTTCTTTGAAACCTGTTAACTGCACTCACCAGTTTGAGCACTGCAATTATTTCTCAAATACAATCAAATGGATTTCTCCACACATTTCGCGTCAGTCCTCTGCGTGGCATATTATTCTTTTCTGCGCGGCCGCGGCATCAGAAGTGCACGACCGCGCACGCACGCAGCTTAGAGGGAACGTGATTCTTATATATTTTGTATGTCGAATAAATTATTAATTATTATTGTTCTGCGAAGTTTGAAGATAAACATTTTTAAATATTTATCCCGGATATATATATTTTTTAATCAGGAAGGGGGTGGGGGGTCAAATGGGGGGTCAAAGCATTTTTTGGGAGGGTCTTGAGACCCCCCAAGACCCCCCCTGGCGCCGCCGCTGCTCTCAAGGGAGGGTTGGATCCAAGGGGGTAATCCATCGACAGGAAGTTGAAGCCGGCCGGGTGCCGCCATGTTGTAGCAGAACTTCACTTGCGTTAGCATTTCCATTGACTCCCATTCATTTTGGCGTCACTTTGACAGCGAATAACTTTACATCTGAGGCGTTTAAAGACTCCATTTGTCCATGATTTATTTCTAAAGAAACACGACAATGTATAAAGGGCTCCATTACCTTCTATGTTACATTATGGCCCCGTAGAAACAGATTTAGTAAAAATAGGCTAACGATTGCGTCATAACCACTCGACTCTCTGTCGCGCTGTACAGAAATTACCGTACAGACAGGAGGAGAAGCTCGCAGGCAATCGGGGGGACGTCCTGTCAAGGGAGAAGCCCATAGATAATGAGTCCATAAAAGCAGCGGAATACTTACTCCTCCTCACTCACGCCAAAGAACTCTTTGCTCAAGTTCCCCGTCTCTGCAAGATTAACGTTGGCAATTTTCACGCACAGCTACTAGAAGATTCACGTCTGTCAGACAGATTGCGCACGTCATCAAGCTTAGTTTGAGTCGGTTTGAGTCTGCGCGTCAGGAACGGAAGTGCTCAAAAATCGCTAAAAATGGGCTTCAACTGTCTCAACTGAGTTCCAATGAGATGGCTCTGTCCACTTCTTATACTGTCTATGGTTGGATCGTATGCTTTCGAAGCTAACTTGCTATTGCTAGCCTCTCCGAAATTGCCTACCCTATCTTTAAAGGGGTCATCGGATTGAAGGGGGTGGATTGGAATCCACTGCTGCTTCAATGTATATGTAATGAATGAGTGATTATAATCAAGGTATTAATCAATATTTTTCCTTCTAAATATCAAATGAGTTGAATGACTTCTCTAGGCTTGTGAGATTTTACTTTGTTATAGAAGTTACCAGTGTGATTACTGAAATGTTCTTTTCATTTATTCTTTAATGTCTGTATTTGATATCTGAATGCAGGAAGTGCTTGCTCATTTAGCCCGGCTACCAGAACTGAAATGGGGACTTGTTTTGTGTTTGAGAAATGTCTTCAAAGTGTTAAAGCATAAAGGGGTCATTGAAGCCAATAGTTTAAGGGACAATTTCTTTGTTAAAGCCTTATTTTCCAGTTAGACTAAAGTCTAGCTATCCTTGAGAGAAAGAATGCATTATCTTGATGTTTTGAGACGACTCTCCTGTTTATAGTTAGAGCCTGGCCAAATCCAACCTTGGAAAAGCTGTGTGTCGGTGTGTGTGTGTTAGTCTTCTTGGTTGCAGGTTAAGGAACCACTGGCATTATGGGAGATTGACTGACTTGTTTTCTTCGACATGTTCTGCGACCTGGAAGGTCATGACGTGCCTAAACTTCAGGGTCTGAGTGTCAGCTGCATAATCTATGGACGTAGCTTAGACCTTGGTGAATGGTATAATTGCTGTGATCTTTATCACTGTAAGGGGGCGGCCTACGAACTCCTGTGTGAGTCTTGAAGCTGACTTCTGCTGATGAAACTGCAAACTATCTTCAGTAAATCTTTTCTTTAATTTATTATAATTCTGACTCCGGGTCTTTATTCATCATATCTGGTCCTGGGTCTTTAACCCTTTACCCCTAACAGGATGCCCATTTTCCACAAGTTGGTATGATTCTTTAGGGTCTTCATGTAAAGTTTGTTAAAATTCCTCAATGGTTGTGTAAAACAACACCCTTTTTACCTCCTCAAAAACAGCTCTGTCCACAGCGACCTGTTTCGGTGCATGTCTCTTTTGAATGATAATGAGCAACTGCTCACCCCACCCCTCTCTTCCGCGGTGGCACTGCCTTGGCAACCTACCTTGGTGGACATTATAAACATGGCTGAGGGCGGAAATATGTTAATACGGGACAGTCCATCAGTGGTCGTGGGCGGAGCATGAGCAATATGACATCATATTGCTCAGAAAATCCAAACGGCTTGATTACTGAGAGTGTTTAGGCTTTTTGAGGATTAAAAAAAAGGAGTGAATGGATTTTTTTCATTGTATGGTGGTTGTGTCCACACACTACAAAGACACATTTATATGCAAACACCATATAAAAGTGAATTTTGCATCCGATGACCCCTTTAATTCGATATTTGAATATCTAATTATCTAATCATTCACCAGGCAAAAACTAAGTCCAGTAATCAGCAGTGTCCATTCATGTACATCTAGTATTCAAATTCAGAATATGCAAACCAAAATATACCTCCTCCTGTAACACTGGTAGATAACCACATCTCTTGGCAACTTGCTGACATCCATCTGTATTCTTTACAGAACCGTAACTGTGGCCAAACCACAATCACATGTGGAGAGAGTCACTTAACATAATTTATGATAGGAAACATTTGTTGTTGCTTTATCAAAAATTTGTTTTCCTCAAGGAAATGTTTCTTTAATTTACTGTAAATGTTGTGATTTTGGCGTAGGTTATTTTTATTTTACAGCTACAGTTTTTACATGTATTTTCTGACAGTTTAGCATGTGAAAACAAAACCCAAAATACAATTCCTCATTGTGTGAACTGCTTGGGCGGAGAGTGTGAAAAGACATCCACGGACTTTCCCCACCTGACCTCAGAGACTCTATTACTTCTATTGCCCAATCAGTCAAATGGGAAAACAAAGAGTTTTGCACTTGTTTAAAGACTCGGAGTGAAGCTGAAGGTTTACAGTCTGTATGCGACGGTGACAGCGTGGGTGGTCCCACAGGAGCAGTGGTATTTTTTATTTACAGTTGGGCATGTGCAGGAAGGGCCTGTAATGGCACTGTGTGCTGATGCGCAGTGGCTTGCCTCCTCTAGCAGTAATGGAGTGGGTATTTATGGAAAAGCCTGTGGACTGTAACCTGAGGTCATAGCCCTTAACTCAAGCAGCCAAGATTAATTCTGACATGGTTTGCCCACGAGTCTCTCCTCCTGAACCTTTTTCAGCTTATTTGGTGTGAATGTGAGAAATATCCATCAAAGAATGCCAATCTGGTCAAACCTCAAAGAATAGGTCAAACCACTTTTGTCCATTTTTAAATATCCTGCTACCCTGAGAATGTCCTCCGAGTTAATAACGCTGTGTGTAGATATCAGTGTTAAGGTTAAATATAAAGAATTAACTATGAACATGTTCCATTAATGTTTGACAGTGAGAAAATCAAATATTTTTGTCTTCATTTTTTATATTAGTGTATCTGTTTTGTAATTTACAGTAAAACCTAACAAATTTATTTTTGTGAAATGTTTTGCTTGAAAAGTGTGCCTCCTCTGAATTGCAGTACCTTGCTTTAAAATAAATGGCATTTGTTTTGAGATTTTGCTACTGAATGCAATAACATTCATATATTTTAACTGTGACTTTTGTGGGCCAGTGTACTTTATATCTGGGGCCTCAATGCTTAGATCGAATAGTTTATTATTAGTGTCTTTATTTTAATTGATCTGCACTCTTTACTATGTCACAGAGACGCCCATGTCTCCAAGCAGTCATGAGTTGTACCACACACACACAGGTCTGGGTCTACAAAGTTAAAAACATGTGCTTAAGGCAAATAAAAAAAAAGAGCTTACACTAAGTGAAATCCTTGACACCCTGGTGTGCAACATGAATTTAAATGAATTTTCCCTCTCTTTCCCTCCCCTCTCTGTAGGAACTGAGCTATATCTACGCTGAATGAAGTCTGTGTGCTGCTGGTTTAGAATGTTGTCACGATAACATCAGCCTGACTCCGCTCTGACTGCAGCAGGTGGGAGCCCAAGGGTCAGGTAACGGTGACATTGGGTCATTGTGTGCCCAAACACACACACTCTCACATGCACATTCACGCAGTCTGTAGTGAGATGTTAGCTACGGAAATTTCCGTTACCCTCAGAATGAGGCTGATTATGACTGCTTGTTTAAACACTCTGCCTGAATGTTTTTTCCCACTGTGGACACTGGGGTTTTTGAGAGAACTGGAATAGACTACTTCTAAAAAAAAATGTAAAAAAAATTCTAGTAAAAATATCTAAACTAGTTAATTTACTAATGAAGAAAAAATGTGTCAGATAATAAGACTTGTTTTTAGTTAGCAGTTACCTCAGTGTTTTGACTACATTCAGATTTATGGTACAAATATTTTTCAAATGGATTTGAAAAATACATTTGTATTCAAGATATATTCTCTAAATACAAAGTCTTAATACCAGTTTTGTTTCTCGAGTAAATTCTCAAGTATAAATATCTAAAAATCCTTTAAACAAGATACTGTAGATATATTTTTTTTTAATTCACAAATGTACACAGGAAGTCTTGTTTTTAAATCTAACAGTTTTTGTGAGGTTTATGGTTAAAAATAGACTTGACTTATTAAGATCTGAATACGCATCATTTGCATTTTTTCTCAGGCGAATTAATCTTATTTTAAGGATGTTTCGATATTTTTACTGGAAAATGTGAAAAATATTTAGGAAAATTGCAGTGTTCGGAAAGCTACTTATTACTTAATACTGTGCTAAGAAGTAAGATTATGACATCATTGTGACACATAATTCTTTTCCTCTGTGTGAAACACATTTTTGGTTGTTTCATTCTGTGAAGCAAATGAATGAGTTTTTGGCACTGTGTATCCCTGAGTGATGTGATGTTGATGTAGTTTTGTTACGAGAAAATATGAGATAAACAGAAGAACAAATGCATTTTAAATGACTCTTTTAATGTCCTAAATATGTTCTTTAAATCACAAGATGAACATTTTAATAATAAATATCAGCTTTATCGTCTAGAAATATCTGTAAAAAGACAAACATCCTCAAGCCAAACAGCTTTTGGACATAATTAAGACATGACCAGCCTCTGTCTTTTTCAGTGTAGCTGTTGCGTAAATGTGTACAGGCTCTTATTGGCACATTTCTGCTCACTGCAGAGCCGGGCACTTAAAAGTGTCTCGCTTCTGTGTTTGATGGTTTGGGTGTTCATGAATCTGCTGCATTATGTTATTGAATTCCAGCTCTATGCCCTTAATCGCTTTCAGATATAGTGCTTTTCTTTGCTCAGAGACCTCATCAGTATTTACTTCTTTTTCAGTATCTGTCATGTTATGTTTTTCAGTCTGTGAGTGAGGACTGAGTCAGGAATGAATCAGCGCTGCGTTTGATTGACGGACAGCTTGGTGAGAAACAAGGCCTCTGGAGAGCGAGAGTCCGATAACAGGAGTGAAAGCGTCGCCACGGCAATATCATCTTTCAGTCTTCACTGCCACTCGTCTTTCACAACATGGCCCCTGCTGTAGCACCGGTCTCTTCTATCGCTGTGTCTTTGAGGACATAGAAAGACACCGGACACACGGCGTTCCTGGAGACTGAAAGCTGGGGAAGTGTCTTCGGGTCCGTAACAGATGGACAAACTGTGTTAAACATCAGTACCGTCACCTTTACAACTACTGTTTCCTAGTTAGGTAATCGTTTTAGTGGTTCAAAGGGACTCGCAGTACAATGAACGTTTTAGGAAGGTGCTGTCTCTGATTTTATATGTTTCTGTGCAACATCAAAGGCCAATGCGTGTGGCTCGAGAGCCCATCATGGCCAGAACGCTGCTGAAGATCCACCGCTATTTCCGGCGTAAACCGGTACGCTTTTTCACCTTCATCCTCCTCTACCTCACCGCCGGCAGCCTTGTTTTTCTCCACTCCGGCTTCTCCAGCGATACTTCCACCACTAGCGCCTCTGGAAGCGGCCGTGACCCACTTATATCTGAAGGTGGGGGCGGCACAGGTGGTGGGAGCTCTACCTCTGATGGTCTGGTGCTCCTGGGGAGGGTGTTTAAGGAGACACGGAGAGCCCCCCGGAGATTTGGACCACCATGGATGAAGGAAAATAGAGCACAGGATGCACCGGAGTGGGCCAGAAGAGGAGTCGATCATACCAGCAGTTGGAGCCATGGAGCCAAAGGAAGAACCACCAAAGAGATGGATGATGGCAGAGGTAGGAACATTTCCCTCACCATGGCACCAAAAATTTAACATCTGTTTAACTTCTGAAATAGACAGACCATCCTGACCAGTTATAGTGGTAGATAATGACCTGATGTTAACCAAAACTTAGAGAACAATGTATAGAAAGACTTTTGGACAAACCAGTAGCAATGTATTTCTATACTAGTCCAACTTTGTTAATTCTACACTACAAAAAAATAATAATTTTCACTATCAATATCTTTGTCTTGTTTTCAGTAAAATATATTTCAACATCTTTAAAGGGGTCATGACATGAGAAATCAAATTTGCCTTAATCTTTTGTATACCTAATATGAAAGGTCTTTGTACCATTAAAACATCCTGCTAGTTTCATAGCTTATAACATCTTCTTTATTTAAAAAAAAAAAGCGTTTATTTAATCAAGCTCCAAAAACAGCTAATTTTAATATCTGTGATGTCACACGGGTAAATACATTTGTATATGACTGCCCCCAAAGCAAGACATTGATGAATAGTTATACATCATCACACTATAGGCCCCGCCCACTGGCATTCAGTCACTTAAATCAGTTTGGAAAGAAACTTTTGTTGAAGGATGAAGCAGTCAGCTGTATTGGATCTGACAGCAACTGCATCACAAACCATAAGTAAATTATTTAATAGCGCATTGTCTGTAAATTAGGTTTTATATGGATAATGTTTTTAAAACACTTACACGCGCGCGTATTTGTAGTGGAGATGAGTGGTACCCGGTGGGGTCTTCTGCTGTTGTAGCCCATCCGCCTCAAGGTTGTGCGTGTTGTGGCTTCACAAATGCTTTGCTGCATACCTCGGTTGTAACGAGTGGTTATTTCAGTCAAAGTTGCTCTTCTATCAGCTTGAATCAGTCGGCCCATTCTCCTCTGACCTCTAGCATCAACAAGGCATTTTCGCCCACAGGACTGCCGCATACTGGATGTTTTTCCCTTTTCACACCATTCTTTGTAAACCCTAGAAATGGTTGTGCGTGAAAATCCCAGTAACTGAGCAGATTGTGAAATACTCAGACCGGCCCGTCCGGCACCAACAACCATGCCACGCTCAAAATTGCTTAAATCACTTTTCTTTCACATTCTGACATTCAGTTTGGAGTTCAGGAGATTGTCTTGACCAGGACCACACCCCTAAATGCATTGAAGAAACTGCCATGTGATTGGTTGATTAGATAATTGCATTAATGAGAAATTGAACAGGTGTTTCTAATAATCCTTTAGGTGAGTGTATATTTCATTTGAAGAAGACTTGCTCATACACTGTGCTGCTTCATGTTTAGAGCACTAGAGTATGTCCATAAACTTTTGAAACGCTCTTGCTCTGGTCCGTATATGAACTATATGATCCGCGTTGCAGGTGTTGTTAAACTCATTGCGGCGTTCCGCGCAGAAACCGCTCTCGGCGCTCTGCGTGTTGTTTGAATTCTCTGTTAAAAGAGTTCTTTCTCATGAATAAATGCAGAGAAGTGTTCAGGACCGGCTGACGTAGAATCGTGCCCGCAGCCAATCACACACCCACGAAAGCACGCTTCTACCTCAGATTCCGTGACTTCGGCTTCGACTTTTCAACCCAGAAGAACGAAATTGCTCAGAAAAACGCAAAAATAACCATTTTTCTACTTGATGATACAATTTATGAGTGCTTTTAGTGTTTTCAGTGACATGTAGCCTGTACATATCATATCTCAAAAAATGTGTTTTTAAGTTTCATGACCCTTTAAAAACGGATAATTTCAGACAGAGGGGCAGAACGGGGATTGAAAATAATAATTTTTCCATAAAAAACGTAAGTGAACATCAAGGAACATATTAAAATAATAAACAAAATACATGTCATGACCCCTTTAAAACAAGATACATTTATTTGAGAAGGAAAATTAAGTCTTTTTAGATTTTACCAAAGCAGTTTACCCAACCAAATGTTTTTTTTTTGCACCACCATAGCCAAGACACTCACCTGCCAATGTAGCTGGTGAAGCTAATTTACAATTATAGTCTCTCTGGTAAAGCTGACTGACCACGGATGTATTTCTGCTTAAGCATTTTACACACTGCTGTCAATGCTGGTCTTTTCATATACAGGATTGCCTTATTTAACAGAATACCTAACACTTTCTCACACAGACATGACACATGTGGTTGTGTGTTAAAAAAAGAAGTGATTAATGTTGCACTTCTGTCGTGACGCAAACCACAAAGCACAGTTCTCCTTGCAATGATAGCAACCTCAGACACTCTCAGTGGAGAAAGAGTCTTAATTCAGTGTCTTAAAGGAGAAACTTTGTAATATAAAAACACTGAGTAAGTTTAAATTGCCCAATAGTGCCCTGCAAAATGACTTTACAGGGAAATCCGCTCATCCTAGGTGAGATTTCTTGTATTATGTTTAATTTAAAAGGGCACTTATTAGCATAGGGAACAGGTGTATATCACTTCGATATCACTTCAGTGGAGAGTGAAATTTACACATCAGTTATTGCACACCACCTCAGAAAAGAATAATTAATACATTTATTTAATAAGAAATCATTTATTATATATTTAAGTAGGCTACATTTAATTAATCACACTGCTTTATAACTGCAAACAGAAGCATAGAAACTGAAAGCACCTGAGGTGAATTTAGCTTAATAATAAATAAATAAATCCTATTTATTTTAGTCAAACTTCATGAAGATGGACACACACACATATACACTTATATAAAACATTAATTAGGATTTATAATTATTTACATGCATATATTATATCATCATACTAATCTGTGTGACTCAAGTGCTACATGGCATTCCAGATTAGCTTATTTTTGTCAGATGAAGTGCTCGGGGTGTAGTGAACACTGTGTGCCCTGTGAAGCAGAACACAGCTATTGATTAGAACGAGCTGATTGGCCCTTCAAGATGCGTGTCGTTGGTCAGTTGTCACAGACAGTCATGGAATGAACTGGCCATGGTTGAAGCTCAGTGGAGTATGGCAAACCGCCTGTCTTTAAAATGCTAAGCTGGAGGAATGAGATGCCCTTTTGGTGACTGTTGAAGTAAATAATGAATGCGTGTGTGTGTGTTTTTTCTAACACTAGTAACACATTTGAGAGCTGTTGTTAGTTCATAGCCTTTGGCAGATGCTTCATCTCTCCTAAAAATCATTTTTTCTTAACAGTAGGCACAAGTCTTAAAATCAGAGAGTGTATGATATAATTACTTTATTTTTTAATAGAATAAGCAGAAGCATATTTTTATAATGAAGACAAAAATTTCATTGATATGTTTAATAAAACCTCATTTGAGTGATCCCAATGAAAGCATTTATGGTTATTCTGAAGAAGTTTAACACTATTCACATTTATGGGTTAGCCATGTGCAACTGGGAAAGCTCTGACTTTCTCAAGTCCCCAATATTCCTGTAAATAATTGTAAAGTCAGTTCATCAATCTTTGAACTAAAAGCTTCTTCTTTAAGGTGATATCATTAAATATACATGATGTGACCTCCATCATGGTTTAGTAGGAAAGTGTGTTTGATGGTGTTTGCTGAAGGTCTTAGATGTAGAAAGCTGAAACATGCCAGCTATGTATACATTGCTATGTCCGTTCACATCAAGAACGAAAACTATAACAAAATAATAACTATTATGACAACTACTACATTACTATTCTAAAGTTTGGGGTTGGTACATTTTTTTTAATGTTTTTGAAAGAAGCCTGACTAACCTTAGTGAAAAAAATCTATACCAAAATGTATTTTAAATACATTTATTTCATACTAAGTATGCTACAAATCCATTAACATATTATTTACTGACATATCACTTGAGAATTACTGATATAAATATTATAATTCAACTTTATTTGGAGCACTTCTTTATTGCACAATGAATATTTATTAATATTAAGCCTAAATGTGTTTTAATATCCCTATTAGTAAGCATACTATGATCTCTGTATAATATCAGTCTTTAAACACAAGCTATTAAAGTGTACCTAAAGTATACTTGCAGTATTTCCACTTTAGCACAATCAAATATACTTGAGTATATCTTTAGTTGGACCTCAGCATTAATTCCGAATAACTAAAGTGCATTAAGTACAAAATTAGTTGTTCCAATTTAGCAGACTTTAAGTATATCAATTTAGTACACCAAAGTGCAATTGCAGGGGTAATAGTATGTAAATGTATTTGTAGTATAAAATAAATGTATTTCAAATACATTTTAGTATAGGCCTATTTATTTTTCACTAGGGAAGGCTGCATTAAAATACATTGCAAATACAGTAAAAACAATAATATTGGGAAATATTATTACAAATTTAAATAACTATTTTTCAATTTGAGTATATTTTAAAATGTAATTTATTCCTGTGATGGCAAAGCTGAATTTTTTCAGCAGCCATTACTTAAGCCTTCAGTGACGCATGCTCCTTCAGAAATCATTATAATATGCTGATTTGGTGCTTAAGAAACATTTCTTATTATCATTGTTGTAAAACATTTGTGCTGCTTAATATTTGTGTGGAAACCGTAATACATTTTATTTCAATATTCTTTGATGAATAGAAAAAACCCCCAGCATATTTTGGAAACAACTTAATGTATCCTTGCTGAATATCAGTATACATTTCTATTTTTTTAATTCTCAGTCTTTTATAGCGTATATTAGTGTCCACACCAATGCACAATTAATTCATGGAAACGGTCATTATTTTGAAAATTAAAATGTTATGGTTATAGTTATAGTTATAGTTCATGGTGTGCTGTGCAGTCCAAAATAAAATCTGAAAGACTTTAGTCATGATTAGTTTAGTTTACAGGATGCATTTTGCAAGTTAAATCATAGTGAACATTACACCAAGAAACAGCTTGATTGAATAGCCAATGTGGGCCCCTTTCAAATGAAACCTTATTTCTCTTTGACATATGGACTACATACAGTAACGTCTCACCTCAATCCCCTGTGCTAACTCACTAGTTTAAACAGAACCCCACAAAAAGACAAAGGAAAGCCAATTAGTGGATTGTGTAAGTCTCGGGTCATCACCTTTATCCATAGTGAGGTTTGAACAGATGGTTCTTAAGTGGGCTCTAGCAAAAAGTGTAACCCTCTAGTAAAACACTGCACGTTTCACTTTTGACAGTCATATGTCGCATGACTTTAGCAATCAACCAAGGAGAAAGCCACTGTATTATAATTATGGAGATTGTATCTTCGTGGTTGTAAAGGCACACATCCAATTAATTAATCTCAAAGGATGTCAAGGACAGAAACATGAGCTCAGGCCCCCAACATCCTTCACTGTAGTCTACGATATCTTCTGATATCGGCACCAGATGGGGTGGCAGTACGTAACAGAGGTGGAAATGCAAGACTGTCACTGTCTTATATTAGCTCAGTTAGTACGTCTGAACTACACCAGACACTTGCATCATTTTAAAAAGTGAAGTAAATCAACAATTGATTTCCTCTTCAGTCTCACAGAGTCACTTTTCCACAAAAAGAGAAAAATAATAGGAAAGGAAGTAGTGTTTCCACCAAGTAGTGTTTTTAAAACATATACATATACATAACACATGTGGAAGTTAACTTTTACAACCCATTTTACTTTTTGGGTGAAACAGAACTTGATTTAAAGGAACTAGTGATGTACAATTTTTAGAGGAAGTTATATTTGGGCAATATTTATATAATATATTTATGAAATGTATAGTCATTATATAGATTTTTTATTCACATTCACTGTTGAATCATTGTGACCAGAGACATGTATTATTAAAGCGGAGGGGGTCAATTTTGGTGTCATGTTTCATTTTACTCTTCCATGTGTGGTCCCCTGTCTCTACTCTGCCTCCTTCAGGACACTTTTACACTGTTTGTGACTGAAATAAGCTTTCATAATAATAATAATAATAATACAGAGGAGCAAACTTTTAATCCAGTAAATATTTTGACAGCGCTAGCACAACTAATTAACACAATTAATAATAATATAAATTCAAAGAATACTTAGTAGCTCAAAGCTGTACAAATAAAAAGTTAAATGTATACAATAATAATGTCTAATAAATTAGATATTATTAATACAATAGACAAATACCAGAGATGCAAAAGCAAAGAAAAAGGCATGTCCTTTCTACATTAAATGTAAAACATTAACGTTTTTTTTTTAATAGTTACAAAGCTTTAACCTGTCGGTTAAGAAAATAAAAAATATAGAAGCAAGTACAAGAGTTTAGAAGTGTAAAAACAGAAAACAGTTTTAATTTGATAGGCTATGATATTGAGGTTTATTCTTCTAATATATTAAAGTGAAACTTTTATAACTGTTCCCCTCTTCATTATTCTTCATATATCCAGAGCAAACGGTTCATGCAGAGAGCTCATCATGTGAGTACAGCAGAGCGCCATTAACTCTGTAGTCGTGCTGCTAGTGAGAGTTTCATCCAAGCACTTAGTTGCTTCACAGAATGGCAATACAGTGTTGAGTGAATGGAGCTTGACTTGTAGATAAAGCAGATTACCGAGCTTGCCCTCTGTGCCTGCCAATACGATTAACTCACCATCGTGCTCGCTGCTTTTTAGACAATTGCAATTACTATAATGTTGTACTGGTTCATATGTGTATATGTCAGAACCCCCCTTCGCCAGCTCATCTCTGCTATTAGAAAATACATTCAATCCTAATGGGGAGAGATGAGATTACAGAGAAAGAACGGATGTCATGCAACAGGGCATTTTGGGTCATTTGTGTGTGTGTGTGTGTGTGTGTGTGTGTGTGTGTGTGTGTGTGTGTGTGTGTGTGTGTGTGTGTGTGTGTGTGTGTGTGTGTGTGTCACAAATGATGAGATTGATGGAGCAGATGATGCATCTGTGCATCGGACTGTAAATGTTTTCAGAACAAAACGTCCACAACAATGTGGCCATATCCAAACTGTAGATGTGTTTTAATGTTGTGTCACAAGCTGTTAATATATGGAATAGCATTCTCTATATGGTTGCTAATCACAATATGTGATGGCAGACTGTTAGCACTTGTTAAAAGGAAAAAAAAAATTTCATTCAATTTTCAGAGGATCTATAATTTAATATTTTACGCAAATTAAGCTCTTTATAAAAGAATGTTGATTATCCCACTTTGACTCTTCCCTCAGTTTTCAATACACACAAATGAAAGCTACTTAATTATTACAGACTTACATATTATGCATGTGTTAACTAGTGTGAATAATAAACCATTTAATAACTTATTCACAAAATCTTAAATAATAGGCCTACTAAAGTTTATATTAAGAAACTTATCCAACATTATTCTCATTTATAAAAAATGTTGTAATACGATTTCAGCATGTATGAAAATGCCTTGAATTAATATTAAAAATTCCCTAATCCCAAAACAGTCATACAGATATGGCTATGATTTCACTATTTGGCCACTAGATGATGCTGCGTTTCAACTTTAGTAATTATGAAATGTGCTTTACAACCTTGAATGTTTCTTGAATTAATTTTATGAATCAACAGTATTTACTGATCAAGAGGATTCAAATCAGCACTAATATTTTTTTTACAATCTTGGTACTGGAATTAATGCTATTTTCAATATATTTCTCTTTAGCAAAGTACACCGGCTGCTATGTTGATGACACACAGAAACGGGCTCTTAGAGGGGTGTCCTTTTTTGACTACAAAAAAATGACCGTCTTCCGTTGCCAGGACAACTGCGCTGAGAGGTACAGTATGTCGACTGAAACGTTTTATCTCCATGTACATGAGTATGCGCACATTTGCATCACAATGACACATTTCTTTTGACTTCTATAGTTTATACTCGGGTAATTACATTTTCTGTGCTGAAACCTCAAAATACCATGACAGAATCCTTTCATTAATACATTATTTAGTATGTTTATGAAGCAGTTTTCTTGATGGTCATTAGCAGATATCTGTCCCCCATAATGCAAGTGATTTCAAGTTTTACTATTCTTTTAAGATACAATTTCCACACCTACACAGTACACTCCCAAAAAACACACACAAACATACATATTATCATGTACAAGTACACATACACATTAAATCTAATTACATACACACTAATCTATTTCCCTGAGTTATCTTGTTTCCTTTACCTATAATTAACTCAGATGGGAGAGAGTTATCAGATATGCTGTTTCCTCTGATGATCCTCTGATAGTCACAAAGATTTGTACTCTCATTCATTTTCAGGATGTGTGCTCACCAGTAATTATTCTAATTATTAATTAATAGTAATTATTAATTTACCCGAAAATAGGCATCATTCACTCATCCAGATGTCTTTCCAAACCTGGAACACAAAATGGGAAATACTGAAGAACTGTGCCGATCGCTCTTTTCTGTGGAGATACAGTGAATCAACAGTGACTCAAAAAGAATGAAAAAAAAAAAAACATGAGAGTAAATGTGGTCAGTACGACTCATGCACTTTATTCCAGTTTTTCAGTAGCCATATGATAGCTTTATTAGAGAAACAGGTTGAATTTTAAGTCATTATTCACTTATAAATCTGGGCCCGTATTCATAAAGAATTTTAATGCAAAGAGTCGCTCCAAGTGACAAAAGTCTAAGAAAATTCTTAGAAATGTGGGTGTTTACTCTTAAAATTAAAGAAAATATCCTAGTAAAGAAAAAAGTAATTCAGAAAGCATCTTAACCCTTAAAAGAGGTCTTAAGGTCAAAGCTGTTAGGAGTATGGATGAGGACTTTTAAGAGGCTTAAGAGTTTCTATAGCAGAGGAGAAATGGCAGAAAGACAAAGAGGGAGAAGAAATGTGTTGCGGACAATGGATGACAGTGAGTTAATAAGACGCTATCGACACCCGGCCAGAATTCTCCTTTAAGGATGGCCTTGTGTTCATCCACTAACTGGGCTCACAGTAAACACTGTTCCAGTCGGGCTTTCTCGTCCTTCTTGGTTTTGATTCCATGTTTGTTACATTAAAACCAACATTCAAACCACCACTTAAATAGACATGCCAGCAATCAGTGTAATTGGAAAGAGTGGAAAAAATTGTATCATTCTAAGCCAATCAAATACCTTGTAGGAAATGAACAGCATGGTAAATAAAAAAAAAGGATTTATATAGACATATATAATGTGTGTGTGTGAGAGAGAGAGAACGCTCAAATAGGAAAAATGACGCATGTAATTTCAAAGTGAAGGCTTAGAATAGACCCTATACTTAAAATCACTCTTTTTTTTTTCCATCTTGGACAACCAACCAATCACAGTCTTCAAAAGATTGTGTCACACATAGCAACAGGGTCAGCCCCGCCTCCTCACTAAGATGAGAGTTTGTGTCTTTTCCTTACTCAGAGTTGCTCTCAGATCGGTCTCGAATCACTCTTAAGTTAAGACTCCTACGTTAAAGTTTTTAAGCTAAATTAAGAGTTTTCTGAGAGGATTCTTAGAATCTTTATAAATACGGGCCCCGATCTTTTAAATGAATTGATTGGTCAGTGGTTCTCAACCTTGACCCCAAGTCCCCCCCACCCCTGTTGCCCAGAACAATGTTCGAAAGCCCCTAGCCCTAGTTTTGCTTTCAAAGCATATTTTAATCTGTGGACACTCCTAGTTCATGTAAATTAAAAAAAGAACTTAACTAATTATAATTAAAATCAAAATAATTATATTTCATGACTCAATAAGTTATGAGAACCGAATGTTTTCAGGGATCCCACTCTTTTTTTAACCCATGAATTTATTTCATAAAATTTTCAGTCGTTTTGTTATACTGGATTTTTAATAATATTTTTACTTACAATCTACCTGATAAAATATTGTAGATCTGGCAGAAAAATGTATATTTATATTAAAAATGCCTTTGGCACTTTAATATTGTATTAATTTACATGATTTTTCCAAGTCTAGAAATCTCACTTTTCTCAAAATTAGACTTACTCATATATCCAGGTTTTGTGGAGAAAGAGAAAAAAACTGCAAATTTATTCAAAATTCCTCCAGTTTTGACACAGATTTGGAACAACATTAGGGTGAGTAAATGATGATTAAATTAATTTTCATTTTTGGTTGAACTGGTAATGTTGCCTTTTTTACTTTCCATCTTGTAAGCACTCTTGCTTCCTTCCTCTTTCCTCGGTTCTTCTACCCTGCCTGGTTCCCAATGTTTCTTAACACTGCGTACCCAACTACACATTAACACCAATACACTGAATCACATCAGTCTGTGGCTTGGAAAGTCACAGAAAGAGAGAAAGGGAGAAAACAAAAAGGCTCTTTTGAAATTTTGGCATCAGGACTTGCTCTACAGGAAGGAATGAGAGTCAATACAGATCCAACATAAACAGCACTTCTAGTAATAGTGCTCTTGCGTATGAGCCAGAAACTGGAGAAAGATGATCCTTTATTTTCTCTCCTCTGATCAAAATAGGGGCTTATACAACTAAAATTTCAAGAGAAGCTTTAACATTGACAGAAGTGAGTGTTGATTGATCACGAGTCAAGAGGAAGTTTACTGTTGTCTCGTGGACATTAGTATACTTCTTTTAAACTAAAAATAAGAAAGTATCCTTTCAGTCTACATTTTATGTACTTCTCAGAAATATACTTTATGTACTTCATAAATATACTTCAAATTGCACTTAAGTATACTTGACTTATACTGACAGAAAAGTCCAAGTATATTTTGGCCTGTACTTATACTCAATTTTTTGATCGAGATATACTTAAAAGTATAATTAAGTATTCAAAGTATACTTGGCTTGCAGTGGGTTAACTCTTTTGATCGAGGAGCCTATTAATTATACTATACTTTTTTTTACATAGTTTTTCATATACAGTGTTATGAAACTTATAATGTTTGAAAATATTGATTCAAATATTGATATAAAACAGATATTTTTGTGTAGGCTAGTACACTGGTAGTGTACATTGGAATTTACTTTAATTCTACTTTACTCTTTCCCCACCATTGACTGAATTTCCCAGCTATCCATGTTTTCACTGTTATACGGTAGGGGGCGCTTTGACACATCTTCCAGTACAGAATCTCTGGATCAAAACACAGGAGAAGAAGAAGCTGAAACAAGTGATAGAAGATTGCTCACTCAAATGTAAAATAATGTGATCATCAAACATTAAACTGCGTGTAAATCAAAACTGCTTAATGTTTCCAAATGAAATGAAGCGTAACCCATGAAGAGAAAACGACTGTGAAGCTTTGGGCATGTTGGACTCGATCTACTCCATCTGTGTTTTGATCATCGTTCTGAATCTGATCAAGGCGTAGTCTTTGACACAAATGAGATTTCTACATAAAGTATACTTAAAAATATACTTGAACTAGGGGTGTAACGGTACACAAAACTCACGGTTCGGTACGTACCTCGGTTTTAAAGTCACGGTTCGGTACGTTTTCGATACAGCAAAAAGTAAGAAATGCCAGAGAAATTTCCTATTTGTTAAAAGAAAAAATATTTTTTAAATAAGTGTGAGTTTTCCTACATCTTGAAACTTTCAGGTTTATAAATGGGTGTCATCTTTGAAGGATGAACAAATAATGTTTTGGTCATCACATTAAAAATAACATTTAAATATATGAAGAGTTCAGATGCAAAAGCCATTTGAGTGAAATTACTGAACTTAAATATACAAGCTTCATAAAAAGATCATTCTAGAAGAAAATTTCAAATGGCACTTAGAGGCTTTTGCATCTGAACTCTTCATATATTTATTTATATAATATTTGAGTTTTGAAGTGCTGGAAAAAGATGTGTGAAGTACTTGAAAGGATTTCACTATTCCAGCCAAACAAGTGCTGGAAAAAGATGTACTTGAAAGCATTTCACTATTCCAGCCAAACTGGTTACAGTTAGTGTTACAATATTAAATCCATGGTGAATGTTTATGGTCTGTGGACGTAAAGTATTACTAGTTCATTCACGGCACAATATTTCTCCTGGTGTCCACGTCAGCGCTGTTTGATCTAACAGAGATCTACGGTTAATAACGGAGAAATGTGAATGCTTCTCACTAGATCTCGCAGCAATGTTATTACTTCAGTGGCGAATTCAAATGTTTTCTTTACTTTCTTTTCTTATACGAATACATGTACCGTTACACCCCTAACTTGAACATTACTTGAGGTTAAGTATACTTCATAAAATGAACTTGAAGTATAGTTATTTTTCGTAAGGGCAAGTTTAAAAGGAAGGGCTCTGTTGACAATGATTCTTTGAAGCTTTTAAACTGGGGGCTCAGCTTAGGGTAGTTCTCACATTTTTGAAAAATCTGAAAACAACTGCATAGAGGAGGGATTTGAGGGGTTTTGCTAGCCAACAGCCTGGCAAAAACTGTTTTTTCCAAGAGTGCTTGGAAATGATACTCTCTACACAGTGCATCAGCTGTATTGAAACCATTTCATGTAAAACGGTATGAGGGAGGGGAACATTGCTGGGAGTTGGTCAAAGTGTCAGAACAATAGACCACATTCTTTCTGCTGTTTTCAAAAGCTACATGTACATGCATGCCCATGTGCACCACTGAATTCATCAGTTTGAAGAAAACTGTGGAGCACGTATTACATTTCCCCTTGAAAAGTTTTTAAGTGACCTGCTCAAAGGCACAAATGTAATACTGTAGTTCATGAAACACCCCTTTTTGAACCTACAACTTTTCAGATAATATTATGTAATATTTAATCTGGTGAAACAGACTTCTCTCTGGTGACATA